TATATTATACGGAATATATATATTATAATATATATTATACATATAATAAATTATATGTATAATATATATTATTTAATGGTATATTGTCGGACACCTTATATAAATATACCAATAATTACTAATTACATACATCAGCCAACTGTTGTTCCGTTGCACCATGTTCTTTTAAGTTGTCTGATAATATCTGCACTCGTAATTGTTTCTCTATCATACGTCTGTTACTAGAAGTTTCATGATCACGTCTTTTTATAATGTTATACAACGCGTGACAACAATGTTCGATTTTCATTTGAACCACTTTCGATAAATCAATAGAAAAGCGAAAAAGCCCTTTGGTTAGTCCCGTCGATGTTCCACCTCGTTTTCTCTCATGTATCTGCATGTAGTTTTCTTGTGCCAATATATAACACAAATATTTAGCTTCTTTTGCTGGAAGCATTGCTAGTCGCTGAATTTGATCTATACCAAGATCATATTCTTTGCGTACTAACCTAAAATCATAAAAAAAAGTTTCAAACGGTTATATATAAGAACACACGTGATTACATATTCGTTTTTTTTTAGTATATATAAATATTTGAATTAGATGATTGCGATTTTACCGGAAAATTCTCGCAGCTTTTGAGCCATATTTGTCTGTTACAATATTTTCTATAGTTGCCCATGTCAATTCTTTAAAAATATTCTTCATGTCAATGCTATACTGTCCTCCACCAGAATCGCCAACTCTTTTAATAAATTGACTATTATCTTCTTCTATAAGTCGAAGATATTGATCAAGATACTGTTCAAGTTCTGGATAATTTGGGTCCTTTCTTATTTCTTCTCTAATCTCAGTAAAAGGAATAGGATTTGACGTATCTGCCCAAGACAACGTTCGCAATTCCATTAAGATGATCATCCTTCTCATTAATTCTGCAGCGTTTTTGTCAAATCTTTGATTCACAGCTGATATAATAATTTGATCCCTACAATGAACAATATGATTATAAGAAATAATTTAGAACCATAAATTTTGAGAATCTTACCTGAGATCTTCGATAAGCCGATCAAAATTGACTTTCCAATGTACATCTTTATCTGGAAGATCAGCAGCTTGATTTTGTAATTTACTAGCAATTGCTCTTACGTCAATATTTGGTAACACATAGTTTGGTTTGTCATTCTCTTGTAGTTTTGTATCGAAGGATAAACTACGCATCAAAAATCGATTTTTCAACAATAGTTCAAATATATCCTTCAATTGTGAAATAGAAGGTACTTCAGCAGCTAAAACAAAGCATTTAGATAATTTAACTTAACTTTTTGTGCAACTTAAAAAGATAAATTTTTGATTAAAAAATGTTCAATTATAAGTTTTTATATTTTACCGTACATTTAGAGGGAGTCTGTTCAATTCTTTTGTATGTTTTTATTATTACATCAGATGCTGTGATATATCCGTGTTTTAAGACTTCTTCAATCATAACCTCTGCCTCATCACCACAACAAGTTTTTACAAAAAATATAAATCTGTAACAATAGATAAATAAGTCTATAACAATAAATCTATCTAAACTGTAAATAAATTTATAATGATATTAATCATAATTGATATTTTTAAAGTGAAATCAGTACAATTAAAAATTAAGATTTCATTCTTATAAATTAAAGAATACCTTGGATATCGAAGTAGCATGATAATTTTGTTCTGTTCTATAGTATATTCAATATTATTATCTTCGTCTTGGTGATAAGTCACAAAACCATGTTTTACAAGAACACACAGTCCTTCTTTTACCTACAACCATATAACATTGTTCTATAAATTATATATATATATATATATATATATATATATATATGTATATACATAAAATAAAATGTAAATAACATATAAGACACAATTATTACTTTATGTACCTTTGCTAGTGGCAAGCCAGTTCCAAACCATATTAACCTTAATGTTTTCTTTCCACATAATAAATTATTACCTACAGATTGTACAATAGAACCAAAATATTCTTCTAATAATGATGAACACAGTTTTCCATACAAGTCCTTCATACTTTATATTAATTTGTTAAATAGGTTTGTTGGTTGGTTTTGGTTTTGATGCGCTCGTGGCTCTTGGACCGAAATTCGGTTAGTCCATGTGCCAGTCTGAGGTACACAACGCGTCACTGAATCGCGGAATAGGCGCGGGGATCGGGGGGCAAGCGGGGCGGTTGCTCGTAGCGCCAACGAGCGCCGTGCGAACTAACCAGTAGCAATCGGTTGTCCACAACTACGTCGTGTCGATAATGTAACTGCTCTTCCTTCCTATTTTCTTCTCAAAACGTTAAACTATTGGCCACACAAAAGTGGAACTCAAAGGCCGTTCTACATTAAACGCAAGTAACAGATCTCGTGGAATTGACCAATTGCAGAGTGAAATCAGCCAATCGACCAACGTGATTGATCAGTTCCACGAGACCTGCGACTTGAGTTTCATGGAGAACGGCCTTTGAGTTCCACTTTTGTGGAAATACGGCTAAAACCAGCGGTTGAAACCGTCGTAAGAAACTACAATGGCATGGCCGCTCTCAGGTTTCTCTCTGGTGGAAACCGGGTCTTAGTGATTCTTTAATATGATTGAATCTTGCCTTTAGATCTTCGTTGGATCTAAGTGTAGAAACCAATCATATTGAAGAATCACTAAGCTTTCACTGGTCTAGTTTCCACCAAAGCATTGGGTGCGTTCAGACAACTCAACGGTTGAGAGATCATCACTTGTGATAGGACTATTCTTCAAAATCTGCTGCGGTTCCAAAAGTACGATCCAATCAGAAGTGATTATCTCTCAACCGTTGTGCAACTGTTGAGTTGTCTGAACGCACCCACTGTGTTACACAGTAGGTTTGCTTTTTTTACCTGAACTGGCTGCCCTAGTTCAGAGTTCGTCTTTTTCACTCCACATCGGAAGAAAAAAGATAAACTCTGAACTAGTGTAGCCAGTTCAGATAAAAAAAAAAAAAAAAAACAGACCCTAGTGTCGCTAGTGGTACGTAGCTGGAAAGCACCCATAGAAATCAGCCTGAGATCTCGATAAAAGAGAGATAAATGGTCGATTGGCCAAATTGTTTGAATGCGATTGGTCCAATTCTTTCGTCGTCCGCACTGCGCAGAAGTGAGAGTGAGAGAGAGAAAGAGAGAGAGAGAGAAAAAGAAGTTTTAGCGTTAATTTCTATAGAAACTATTTCTTTTCAATACTTCCGGTGCGTTTATATGGGTACGACACAGGAGCAGACGCTGAAACGTGGCTGCCCTTCGTCTCAGTTTAGTTTCGTCAGTTGAGTGATACGGATCGTCTTCGAACAGATAACCTGGTAAAGAGAAAAGGAACGGTATCCTAGGTTGTATGTGTATATGCACTGGTTGATGCCTGGTGCATCGAGGGTAGGGGGGTTCGGTCAGCATTTCGGTCACGTGACCGAGCTGCGTTTCGAGGATACAGGTATGGAGCAAATTTATTGTTTTTTTCATGGTTTTTCGCGCGCCACGGCCCCAAGTGCCGAGGCGCTGTGTATTTCGGACGTTTCTGCTTTACGTCGCGCCGACCGAAGCACCCGCACGCCTCCCACGAGGGCCGTGAGTTATCCGCAAAGATTTCCTCAGCTCGGCCATTCTGAGGCTCATCCAGTGTCCATATAGATGCATCATCGCGGCGATGCTTGACAATCCTTCCTCTCGTCTCGCAAAAGCAGAAATGGCGTCCGCCGTGCACATGGCTCGCTGAGGATATCCAATTCTCGCTTCGAGAAACGGGGAATCGCGTTCTCTGTGTGTCGAAAGTTTTCCCGTTCGTATTTTTTGTTCCGCGTTTGCAACGCGAGTCGAGTACCTGGCGTCCGTATTGTCCGTCTTCGTTTCTCCGCGCGGACATTTGGTAGCGTGGTGCTCTTTGGTGGCGACGTACATCCATATACCGTGCGGCCGACGACGCGCCCGACAAGGTGTTCATTTTTTTTTTCTTTTTTTTTTTCTTGTCATTGCGATTTAGTTTTTCAACGCGCGACGCTTTTCATCCTCCCGTGGCGGTGAAATTTTTTCGAGGATTTTCGTATCCAATACGCAGCATTTCTTCCCGCGCCCCCGCGTCGAAGGGCGATGCTTTGAGGAGTCCCAAATGTGTTTCTCACTCGTGAAATTTCCCCGACCGTTGTGTTGAAATCGTATGATCACACCTCGAGAAGGTTTACGAAATATATTTCGAAGTTTCTTTGCACTCGTACCGCGTGCTTAGTCATAGAACGACAACGGAGCGATTATTCACGAAACGTTTGTTCTTATCGAGACTAAAAGATTATTGCTTTCCTTAGCTTTATTATTAATTTTTCTTTTTTTTTTCTGTCATTTTCCGAGATTTTACATCTCTGTCGTCTTGTTGTTGCACAATTTCTAACCTCGTGTATTTTTTTCTAAATTTGTAAATATGTGTTTGTTATTAATGTGTGAAATCTCCGCACACACGTAGCTACTCTCAATATCTGAAACTTACCAAGATATATTGTAATCACTTTTATATATCTGTACTTGATTATACAATTAAGTATATTCTCGTGAATAAAACTCAACATTTGTCAATGTAGGGTGTATAAAAATAGCTTTAGTGTATGTATATATAATATGTACACACGCACACATGTATATATATATATATATATCAGTGCACATTATAAAGCTATTTGTTACAGTAACTTATACACGCATACATATTTACATACATATGTATTTATTACACTTGTAAGATATAAAAAGTTTATTTTAACAATGAGAAAAAGGAATAACATTCTCTTAAAATTTAGTTTCTTTTTAAAAGTTTCTTTTTTTTTTAGCTATATTTCAAAATTTAATATATTTGATTATACAGCAATGTGTGTGCGTTAGAACATAAAGTTGATTTGAAAAAGTTAAAATCCAAACGTATACATGTGTGTAATGGACATAGAATATATGTACACTAAGAAAAGTAAAAAAATTATATATTGGTTTGCTCTAAGGAAAGTAAAAAAAAAAGATACGTACATGAATTTACAATAAGTGTAACTTTTAATTTTGATGTTATATCTGAAAAGTTTATGGTATATATGTACATGCATTGTTATCTTCTTGTTATTATTATTACGGTTTTATAATAACCATGCAATTTATACAATATAAATGTATGTAATATGAATTTTTATTCTGTTCCAGATTGTAAATATACTTTACTGTAAATAAAGCTTATAAACTGCAGGATGAGTTCCACTCATAGTAAATTGGTGTCTTCTGGACGAAGCACCAAAACCAAAAATCAGAAGGACTCTAAAGAGTCAAAACACGATAAGGTTCAGGTATGCAAATGTTTCTGAATTTACTTTATATTGTCATATAATATTATAACAATAATGTAAGTCTATGTAAACATTTATAGCATTGACTATTGTTCATAATCAGATCTTAAGGGGATCTTAAACTGAATCTGTTTTATCGACTGAATTTACGGCTTATGGCGTCAGATCGTAATAATAAATTCTTTGATATAAAAAGTTGTGCAGTTTGTATGTAGAAAAACAGACTGCGTCCCGTTTTCGGAACAACATAAAGAACAATATAGAGCTCTCAGAAATGTTTTTAGAAGGTTAGTGTAAATAAATAGTGTGTGTATTCCAATATTGTTCTGAAAATGTTCACGCACACTATTTATTCATACTAGGCTTCTAAACGCATTTCTGAGAGCCCTATATTGTTCTTTATGGAGTTCCGAAAACGGGAGGCAGTTGGTTTTCTACGTACAAACTGCAAGCTGCTTTTTATTATATCAAGTGAATATTACTACGATCTGACGCCAAAAGCTGTAAACTCAGTCGGTAAAACGACGAAGTTCGACCGTCAGTTTAGGATCTCCTTAAGATCATCTTAAGTTAATCTTCAGATGCTCCGTAGATTTTTAATGAAACAAGTATAAGATCGGATTATGAATATGATAAACATAATAAATAGAGAAAACAATATGTATGTTTTATACATATTAATTTATACGGTATAAACAATTTCTCTTAAATATTTCTAAGAAAACTTTTAAATTGTTTTATGTAGAACACAAACAACATACGTAATTCTCAAATTATTGACACAAGAGCTGGAGGTGAAGATCCTATCCTGAAAGAACGCATCAAGCAAGTCATGGAAATGACTAGACGTTCGGAAGATGATGTTGTTATGGCTTTACATGACAACGATGGAGACTTCGATGGTGCAGTCAACGATCTGTTGGAAGGCGTAAAAACTGAATGGGAGGTCAAAAAAAAGAAACCTCGTCAACCAAGTGGCGCAAAGACTGCGGATCAATCGAGTCAAGATAATAGTGAATGGGAAGAGCGACGTAATCAACGTAGCGGTGGTCCTCCGCGTATGCGAGGTCGTGCCAATCATGACAATCGTGGCTGTATGTTATCTCTATTAAATCTCTATTTAATCTAAAGTTTTCACAATCTTATTACATTTGTTTAAGAATTACTTAGAGGACTAGATCTGCATGTATAAATTGATGGTTTATGTTAACTCTTGCACGATGAAATTTTATATATAAATTTTATATACCTCTTTTTTTTACTGTGGTACAAAGTTATAATTTCCTTATATAATATATCACGGATAGGGCGTGGAAGAGAAAATAAAGAGAATGAGAAGAATATGGAAGATGGCGTTCGTGATGGTTATTGTCGAAGAGGAAGAGGTGGACCTGGTAGATCCGGTCGTGGAGGACGTGGCGGAGGCAGAGGTCTCGGTCCAAGAACTTTTGCGAATCGCAATGATCCAACATCCACGCATAGTTTTAATCGTCCAATTGACACCTGGACAGGTGAAGAACAAAACCAACAAAATGTTCCAGATTCGAAAATGGGTAAATTTCAATTAATCGGTATCAAATAGACTTAATTTCACATAAGTTGTACATATTACAATTAAATTTCAATAATGTGTAGAAGCATGGAACAATTTAGATACTGAAGACTGGGACAACGAGGAATATACCGGATCTCTGGCCGATACTAAAGTTTTTACGCCCAGTACTAATATTCTGGAACCTGCTGTTCTCGAAGAACAAACACAAGATGTATCTTCTACACAAACCGGTCAAGAAGCGAATTTATTGTTGCAGCAGGAGGTACAGTTTACGAGATATTTAAAAATATTGTTTAAAAAAATTATTTTATATTAACCCTTCGCAGACAGACATGGGTCTCCTAGATCTACTCAAAAATTGCGCATTAACGTCTCTAGTAAAAATTAGTTTTTTTTAACGCTTATATCTTTGAAACTAGATACTAAAGATTTTTTCACTTTTTTTTTTAATGCAAAACCGCAAAACGTTCAAACTTTTAGTTCAAAAAATTTAAAAATTGATTTTTTGCAGAGATATTCGATTCTAAAGTCGCGTGGGTCTCACAGAGACCCAGTCTGTCCAACTAGTTGTTATTTTTGAGGTCTGTCCACGAAGGATTAACAAAATATATATACATGTAAATTAAATAATACATATGTATGAAATATACATATTATACACAAAAAAATATTTGATATTTTGTTAAATTTACAGGAATTACCAAAATTGTCGGAAATGCAACAGCAACAACAACAGAGTTTGATACAACAAACACAGCAACAGCAGCAGCAACAACAAACTGTGTTGAGTATGCCAACATTGCAGTCAACAACTATCAACAGCAATGTGCTAACAGCAGCACAGAGTCAATATTTTTCGCAACTGCAACAAACTAGCGAAACTTTAAAAGGAACTGGGCAAACAACTTTTTCGTCATCTATTAGTCAGGTATTTTAAGTATAACTTGAATTGTCAATTGAAAAGCAAATTTTTTGAAAGCTTTTTTTTATCAGATTTCTATTTCAAATATTTTTACTATTGCTCTTAACGAGGTTTAACAATGTTTAATTAATTTTTTACTTAATATTAAATTTTTTAACTTTGAGTTTTTTAAATATATTTACAGGCTCAAAGGCAAACGAAGCAACGTCCGAGAGTTCCTCCACCATCTAAAATACCGTCGTCAGCTGTAGAAATGCCAGGTGATGCGGTAAACAACGGAATCATGCAGTTGATTGACGTGCAGTTTGGCGCTCTCGAATTTGGGAGCGACACTAGCTCTCTAGATGGTTCGGCTAATGAGAAATTTTCATCAACTACGATTACCGGCGTAGATATAACCTCCGGCAGCAATGCCATAAACACTGCCAGCGCGACTAATTCGCTCGATACAGAAACTACTCAATCATCTACTGTACCATACAATACAAGTTCGCAAATGGTAAATTTTATTATTATTAAATCAATATTTATATAATTTCTATTACATTTGTCAATATAATAGGACACAGGCTTACATTCTGTTTGATGATAAATTTTCAGTTGTCTAGTACGGACAATCTGCCGGTATCGAGCGAACATACTACTTCGCAAAATTTTTCTGCTCGTGGAACTACTTCACAGAGTTTAGAATTAACGAAGCAAGACTTCGCATCACAAGTTTCACCTGGGAATGCGCCAACGTATGGTACAACGACTTCGTACCAGACGCAAAAGACCTTCCAAAGTAGCGGTACACCAAGCACGTACGCAGCATATTCCAACAATCCATCGTCGACTCAATCGGCTTATCAAAATGCCGTGAACTCGAGTAATTATTCTGCGACAGTTACGCAAAGTAACTTTACTTCCACATTCCCACAGAATGCGTCGTTTAGTCAGACGTCTCCTTCGGCGTCGACATCAACCACGTACAATCAACCAACAACTACCAGTCAGGTAATTAATTCGAGTTGATTTTTACATAAACATTTCATCATTTTTGTGACAGATGATGATCAATTTTTTACTCTACAGGTTTATCAATCGAGTGGATACGTGCCAGTCACTACTACTCAATATCAAACACCATCAGTTGGTGCAAATACGGTGTCTAATAGCAATACCGCTGGATATCAAACGTATAATCAACAACCTTATCAGTCTTCAGTGACTACGTTTACTCAAAGTTCTGGCGCTTACCAGAGTGCCGCGCAGTCGGTAAATATTTGTGTTTTTATATATCTTATTATATTTTTGTTATAATTTTTTTATTTGCAAATTCATGCGCAAATTTGCGATTATAACAGGCATACGCGAGCACGTATGGCAGCTACGCTAGTCAGCAACCAGCGACGTCTCATCACAAAATAAATAATTCTACAAAAGATTCGCAATATGACAGCAGCGTGACAACGTCAAATAACTCACTTGCAACGACCACTGCGCCAACATTGGGTCTTACATCTGCTTCTGTAAATTCTCAAACTAAAGTAACGAATTCCAATGGTTCGTAAAAAAATATATATAATATATATATATATATTTGAAAAGTAGATTTCAAAAACAATATGCGAGTAAAAGTTTCTGATTTAATGAAATTTATTTTTTTTTTATTAGCTGTACCAAAAAGTACGTCGAGTGGGGTTGTGACGGGCAGTAGCGGTACCAGCAACATGACAGGTGGTAGCGCGGCAGGAAGTATGACTCCGATGCTCGGTCATCAGTACATTATGGGCCAGGCAGGTGTACCGTATTTCCAGCAGCCCGTGTATAGTTACGAAGATTTGCAAATTGTGCAGCAGAGAATCCCGCACATGGTCAGTTACTGCCTCATCACATAATTCACTTTTCTCTCTCTCTCTCTTTTTTTTTTTAATTTAATTACAAACTCATTGTTCGGGATAATTTTATTTGTTCGGAGTAACGTACGTAAAAATAAACAGAACACGGTAATTTGGTCATTTGTCGTTTCAACCATACGTAATGCAGGTTGAACGTGTACGCAAAGAAAAGTTATATTTTAGTATTACTTTAGTGTACTGTGCTTCGAAGAGCGCGCTTTTATTTTTACTGTCTGTTATTATCTGATACACGAAAATTGCCGATAATCGTTTCTATGCTTGGTAGCTGTACTCCTAAATCCAATACTTTCCGAAATTGTCCAATCTTTCTTTTCTATGTAGATCTTCATGATGACAAAAAAAAAAAAAACACTTGTTCATAGCAAGCTGTGCCGTTATGATATAATTACGCTAGTGAAGACAGATCGGCCGTTTGATACATCGAATTACCGTTTATGCGAGAACATTGATAAAAAAAAATTCTTCTTGTAATCAAAGTTTGTCTGAAAATCATGATTTAGAGATATTGAGAAACGATTGTTTCTAATTCCGATCTATCTTAACTCGGTTCTCTTTCTTCTTTGTCTTGTCTGAATTGAGGTGTATACGGGTGATGATATGTCTGAAAACTGTATAAAATCATTGCATTGTATTTTCATATGGAACAAACGTGATTGATGATGAGAGGTGTATATGGATATATTACATTTTGTAGATTATTTATTTTACTTGTGTGTGGATATCTTATGGATATGTATCAATTTATATATATATATATAAATTTATTGTTTATTGCTTATTGTTTATATATATATATATATATATTTTTTTTTATTATATATATAATATAAATTTACATACATATGATTTATGGCAATTATAGCCATACTGATATACGTATATTGTTACAAAAATAATACATTCAATTTATGGTTCGTTTTATTGTGAATTTTGGCCGGATGGGCACTTCAATATCTTTACACATAGCAAGAGATAGATCCAACCAACCGCATGTGTTACTTTCTCCCGGTTATGTGTAGAAATTAGACAATTAGTTAGCCTTCTTGTATTTGGAGTACACAGTGTATGCATGTAGTTTTGTGTTTGGTCTTCCTGACTAACGTGCAGCCCACAACTTACTATGATGCCGCGCTGCCGGGCTATCAGACAACCGGTCCTGCTACGAGTCTCGGGAGTGGGAGAGGTGACGCGCTTTCTGGTGTGCAAGGTGTCCAGAATGTACAAGGAGTTCAGGGAGCCTATACCAGTATTAGCGACGCCAGGTTTGCCAGGAACGACTCTAACGCTTCGCCCGTCCCATCTACTATGCCGCAACAGGTGAGTTTTGCCGATTAGCTTGGAATCACGCCAGTCGCGCGCGCGCAAAAAAAAAAACCATAATTTGCAAAATACTTCGAAAAAAACTTATTAGAATTCTACGAAATTTGCAGACCGCGACACAGCATCAACAGCCATTGATCAATCCTACTCTTCCTCCGGGATACGCGTACGCATTCACCTACAGTGGTGGAATTATGCCGGGAAGTTTCCAGTACGGAACTCCCATTTATCCAGTAGGTTTTTTCTCATTATATATTGATTTTTAATCCAAGAAACAAACAAACACTAACATATCGATTTACGTTATATAGCAAATAGCTACGGCTGGTAATGCCGGTACAAACAGCGGAGCGTATAGTGCTAAGCCAGGCAGTTATGGATCTGGTTATGGAGCTGGTGCAAGCTATGATGCGCTAGCTTCCGCTGGACCGTCCGGCGAGTATAAAGGTGCCGGAAGTAGTTACACCGGCACCCAAACTGGTAAAACCGGTACGTCCGGCACGGCCAACACCAATACCGCTGGCTCTTCGGCAACAGACATAAGCGCGACGATTTACGCTAAGAATCATGTTGCACTTGGAAAAGTGAACGTAAGTTAATTTCTTTACGAGTAATTGCCGTAAAACAGTTGTTTTTTATTATACAACGTCGACTCCTTAATTGATTCTTTTATTATTATAGTCTTACGAGAAACAAACTTTCCATTCGGCCACTCCGCCGCCTTTTGGTCTTACTGGCAGTCAAAATGCTGGCTTACCCGGTGGATACGGTGCGCCACATTTATTTATTCCAACTATGCCGCATCAGTTGCACCAGCCGCTCCATCAGGAAGGCGGCAATAGCACTGGCCAAAGATCGAATTCCAGCTCGCAGAATAAGGCTCAAGCTAAACCTGGATATAGTCCTAGCTACTGGACCGGCAGCAACTAAAAATATTACTATAATTGACATACCAAGAGTGATATAAACACAAAAATATGAAACGTATATAAATAAAATGATACATGACGATAATTAAACGACGATAACGTACAACAGGCAAGAATCGTCTTTATAAAAGAGATTTATCTTTGAGCGTAAATTGCACTCGTGCCAAATGAAATTGTAGCGTTTATAACGCGATGGTTACGGGTGATGGATCCATCGTTCGAATTAACCACGTGTCATAAAATTACAAGTCTCTGGTACGTTGCAAGGAAGATAATAATCCTACAATGTCTATCTAAAATGTACCGGAAAAGAATTAACTAAGAAGACAACACTTTTGTTGACTACAGTGCAATTTCGATTGTTTTTCCTTTCTCTATGTAAAATATAAGCATTACATGCTTAATAAACATTAAAAAAAAAAAAAAAAAAACGCATTTTTATCAGATAGCGTAAAGTAGTAAAATGCGATTGAGATATATTTATGTAAAACTGCACAACTTTGTGCAATTTAATTAAATTTTTTGTCACACTTCGCAAACAATTTTTTTATTTTTGATATTTCGATTCGTCTTTTGAGAAGTGCGCTTTACGTGCATTATTCGGTTTTCAACATTACGCATGTCTGTGTGACTAATTTGTATCTTTTATTGATTATTTTAATATACAATTTATCCCAATTCACGTATTCTAGCCGACATTGAGTCGCGCGCAATGATAGAAATGAATATTCTGGTTTTCTTATTATTGCTCAGAGTATTTTGCTCCGTTCGGTAAAATGTCGAATAAATCGACCGGCTAGTCGAGAAGGAATGAAGCAATAGTGCAGAACTTATTATTCCTTTCATTGCGCACGATATCGGTCAAGAAGTGTACGAATAGAAAAATTATTATATATAATTTTGATAAAAATTTTCGCTTAAAGAAAATCAAATGTATGTTAATTTAGAATGTATTAGCCAAATTGTTTTCGCTTTTTTTATTATATTATTTTACTATTTTTACTTGTTTCGCCACATTTTGCATATTCGGTTAAATTCGATAAAGCGAAATAGATTTCTTCATTAAAAAAAAAAACAAAAAACAAAAAAAAATTGATAAATTACATTTTATTCTTCTCAGAATCTCTCTCTTTCTCTCTCTATCTCTCTCTCTCTCTTTTTCTCTCCAAAGTTGAATAGTGTGCGGACATTTCAAAATTCAATTAATATATTTTTCTTAGTTTTTATGAAGTGATTATGCAAAATTATGTATAAATATTAGGTGAATAAACATTAGGTTGAAAGTTGTTGAAAAGTATAGACATATCTTGAAAACGTTGCTCATCATTTGACATATTAGTGCATTTCTGAAATAATTTGTTTAAAACGAAACGATAATTCTATCACATTATCAAATCTTAAACATTTATATATATATATATATACACAACACACATATATATGTATATTATATATTTTATATATATATATATATACACGTATATATTATATGTATATATAATATACAGCGAATTTGTAATAAAATAAAACATCAAGAAAAATGTTGATTAAAATAATAAATGATAGCTTTTTACATTTTGCTCGAAAATTTAACCGCACAGTGGAGGAAAAGAGGATGATAATTTTCACTTCATACATCTTAATAATCGTGCATAATTCATTATTTAATATGCTGCAGTAAGTAGAAATTTAAAAATCTGTTCAAGGAATCAACAAGAGAAAGAGAACACAAAGAAAAAGATCGATATAGGGATGAATACTGATAATCAAGTACGTTTGTGCAGTAACAATGAGTAAAAAGACACACACACACAGCGATGTTTATATATATATTTTTTATTGAGATCGTAATGAAAGGAAAACGCTAACTACATTATATGTATCAATTCCGTCTGGTATACATCCGTTGATATATTGCATTCTTCATACTGATCACCACACAAGTATGCGATCTATAATATATATAAGTCATATACACATACTAATCGGAATAAAACAATACATTGACCAACAAAAAAACATGTACTCTTTAAAAAAAAAAAAAAACCACATTTTTGCATTGTGAATATAACTGAACGCGCTGATGTATTTCTCTCGGTTGGAGGATGAGCAAGAGAAAAATACAAAAGTCGCGGACGCAAACGCACGAAATGTTTTCTTCGGATGAAGTATAATGTAAACATTTTTCACAAAGGTGCTGTGAGAATTGTTACGACTTACGTGTGTGTACGATAAAAAAACGTGAAGAATAATATTTCTTCTCTCATCACGAATGAACCGACTCAACCACGGCAGTCGTTCAAAGCTTTACTAAGTATCGCTAATGTAAGCGAGAAGTAAATAGTTGTAAGTAAAGTCTCGTTAAGTATATATCTATATATATATATATACATATATCTACGCGTATATATATAAATATATAAATATATAAATACATGAAAAACTTTTGCGTATAGATGCGGTATGAGTAGAATGCGTTTTTTGAGAAACTTGGAAGACCAAATGTAGATTAGCTTCCCTAGTTTTTTTTTTCTTTTTTCCCGAAGAAAAGTGTAAATCTGTAAAACTCAAGCTTTTTGAGAAAGAATTGGATTACATTTATATCTTCGACGTAGTCCCACGGACTTAATGGGAACTACCCAAACAGCTCATTCTGACATACGCGTGTTTCGCATATACATACATAGCTAGCATCGATAAAGTAAACGATTTGCAGCAAAGAATCGAGTAAATATATATATTATATAAATTTTTGTTGTGAGTTAGTATTTGTTTTTAGTCACGCACTTTTCGAGAATTAGAACAGAAAAAAAAAAAAATATACATATATATATATATATAATAAGTGTGTAATGTATAATGCGTGAAAAAAGCAAGGGGAAATGAAGGGAACTAGAGAAAACAAAAAAAAGAACTGAAAAAAACGCTGATGTTTCTCTAAAGACAAAATATGTAAGTTTGCAGAGTAAACACGTTTGTTCTTACGATATAATTATTATACATTAATAATTTTTGTATTTTTGTCAAATATTAACCAATTGAGACCGAGATGCATTATCGCTAAATGCTATAATAATAATTAATAATTAATAACAATAGTTACTTGTGTATAAATATGAAATATAAGAATAAATGTATTAAAGAAGCTTGTGATTTACACATACCTATGGTGCAAATTTGTATTTTAATTCTGCTTTTTGATTCTATAATATTCCTTCAAAAATTTTCCTAGACATTTTTCTATACTTCGGTATTTTTAGTGCGTAAAGTACACTTTTAAATGTGCGTACATACACACGCATACATAGACACATGTACATATCACATACCTTCTTTCTGCTGCACATAGGTGTGATGATGTGAGAATATAAAAAGTTAGAGATATACGTTTTTAAGACGCAGAGAAAATTATATATGATAAAAAAATTAACACAACAAGCATCGTAATGACATAACAAAACTAGAATAAAATTACTTCTACTTGTCTCTGTTTCGATAATCTATAGCGTCACAATACGTCGTTTCGTACTCGTACACGATTTGTCTTGAGCTCTTGCATGTGCTCTTTTACTTTAATTAATTATCTCCAAAATTTTTCCATAAATCTATCAATTAAGCAACGGACACTTCAAATTCCTTTAGCTCCGAGTTCAATTATCACGAACTAAAAATTCTTGTTACTTTAATTAAGAACTCACCGAAGCCGTTTTTTTTTTTTTTTTTTTGAAATGCACCTTGATCATTTGTTCAGTTTCAAATTTTTTTGAGCTTTCTGAATTTTTGCACTCTAATGTATTCTTCTTCTGAAAATGTACAATTAAGAAAAAGACACTTAAAATAATAATAATTACAATAGAGAGAGAGAGAGAAATAAAGAGAGACATAAAGAGATAACAGTAGAAGACAAAAATTTTGCTGTCAAACAAAAACACGACATTGCACAGCTATCGTACCATCTTCCATTTCTTTTTTTGTTTTTGAATGTGACTGGATTGTTTTGCGTTGCGCAGTACCGAGTATTGCCTCGTAACGGATTTTCGATTTGTCTTCTTGTCGGTTGTTCCGCTGGTGTTCACGCCATTTTCTTCGGGGCTCGTATAGCCCCGGATTCTCGGGGTTGTTCCTGACAAGGAACTTGCTAAGTCGACGTACATCATATCGTCGCAAATTGATTGAATATATCTCACGCACGTAATACGATTTTCCTTTATATAGCAAGAGAATTTTTCTTTATAGCAACTCTTCCTTTTTGTTTTCTTCTTTATCTCTTCCCTGTTTATTCTAACAGGTCCGTCTCACATTGTCTCAATTAAATATCTAAATAGATGTTGTAGCAGCTAGTAGCGGGCCACCCCGAAATACACGCGTTTTCCCACCGCAATATTAATTCTAACAATCAGAACCTGTCAACGCGTTACAACGAAACAACGCGGTAGCCAATCGGCATTTTACTCTTATGGAAAAGCAGCCTATTGATTGGCTATCGCTTGGAGAACACGTTCCATTTTGACGTTTGCAACGAGAAAGTGTGTATAACCGCGTTCCGTTTCACGCATTGCGCGCATTTATCTATACTATACGTCACGCGTACTATAGATAAATGCGTGAAACGGAACGCAGCCATAGACGGGGATATCCCTTGTTCGCGATTGGTTACGCCGTACTGGCACGAGTGCTCGGTAGATGGCGCGGGGTAAGGCGCGTTTTTTTTAATAAAGACGATGATGTCGTCGGGGTTAAAAAGGCTGTAAAACAAACTTATTAATAAGAAGATAAACAATAGCTGGATATATAGTTCGGAGATATAGCTTAGCATTGGCGACGAATTTGAACAAGGCATAAAAGGCTGCAATTGTTTTGAAGAACGCAACCTCTATTATGCTTGTGGATAGATGAGCGGTATGTAAATCTTTGTGTAACCTTTAACCATATATAGAACTATAGATTGCTATTCAATATTTTTATGCTGTAATGGAGATTAACAGCACCTCTGTCGCCTAAGAAAATTAAAACAAAAGTGAGATAGTGATTGATATTGAATGAAGAGAGAAAAAGGAGACGGAGTTGGAAAACTCTCGTTTACAAAAAATGTATCACATTCAAGTCTTATTACAGTCAGTAGATATTACACGATAAAATACGTTCGCTTTATCACAAAAGAAAACTCGAGAAATTTGTATTAAAAAAAAAAAAAAAAAAAAAAAAAATCGCAGACGTGTGCGAAAAATATATCACATAAAAGGAGAATTGAGTTTGATAAAGAATAATACAATGCATATATATATAAAATGTTTGTAATACATGTAAATATTGCGGTATATTACATGAAAATAACTTTTGGAGAAATATTGATAACCAAAATAAAAACTTTAAATTATGCGATTTTATGTATATATAATATTTTGATACACTTATACATATATGTATATATACATATACATATACACATACATATACACATATATATGCAGTATCACCGTGTCATTTGTCTTCACTCTCGTCAGCGGTGTTTATATATATATATATATATACACATATATATATATATATCTCATAATAGTCACAATTTGCGAAATGTATAAATTTTTAAACAGACACAAGGATGCGGGATCTACATGCGCACACTCGCGCGAAATATCGGCAATTTTTTATTTGGATCGAAGAAACCTTAGCATATCGAAAACTTTGTTTTTAAATCTGTGAAGGATTTTATTTAAGTCACAATTGCCGTCGAGAGTGTAATTAAACATCATGTATGTACAAACGATTATTATTTCTTACTGTTAATGCATTACATAGTTGTGCAAGTTTCTTTTTCTTTATATACGTCAGTCTTCAATTGCTCTGCCAGAGAAACGATTTCTTTTTTTTTTTTATTTTTTTATTATTATTATTATTATTTTTTAAATATATTCCCGCTGCGTATGGAGAGTCGTTTTAGGTACATACATGTAGAAAAAGAATATAGACGACCAAGAGTTCACATAATAAAACTTTTATCTGCAGAGAACACATATATATTATATCGCACTTTCTATAATTTTATAAAAACATTCAAAGAAGGAACAATACACAATTCTGTCATTAAAATCGTAGAACGGAGTCCTACTGCTTAATCATTCAAATATTTTTCATGCACGCAGTAAAATAAAATTAAGGATAAAATCCATACATTGGTACAGGAATGTATCTACATTGCTGATCAATGCCGAGAGACAGAGAGAAAAAGAGAAAAAATTATATCGTTAAAATCTCCAATAATATATATACATATATATACATATATATATACATATATATATACATACATATATATATATATACACATATATACATACACACACACATATATATTATGTGATTATCCTTTTTCCACATATGAACTCTCCAACACGCTCAACTCACATATCTACTGTAAAGTCCGTATGTGTGATGCTAATAAGGTCATAAAACATTATACACTATTTAGAAATTGCCTGTTCTTTGATTTTGCGTCGTAATATTTTGAGAGACTGTATATATATATATATATATATGTATGATAAACAAAAATTCAAAATAATACTCACAAAAAACGTTTTCTTTCTTTTTTTTTTTTTCGTATTTAGCGATCTATACTGCGTTTGGCGGTACAACCATACAAATTTTGTGGGAAAGAGGGCAAAAATCTACACAAAAGAATAAGTAAAAAGCTTAGATTAAAATACTTTTATTTAACACGTTTCCCATGATTTTTATGTTTGAGAATACAGAGCGTGCTATAAAACAATGTCATCTAAACATTGTAGTTTCCCCAATTCAGATTTTAAGTTTTCTTAGCTCTTTCGCTCTTCGCATAAAAAAAAATTTATCTTTCCCGGTTGTACCGCCAACGACAGACACTTCCGTGAATACTTTTCTTCGCGATTTTTTTTTTTTTTTTCGTTTAATATATCTCAGTCTCTTATTGGTGCTATTAGTGTCTATTGATCTGCTAATACATTCTATCCTGTATCATATCATGCCCATTCATTTCCTCGTACAATGATGTCATTAATAATACAGTAATAGTAATAATTCCGAGAATAAATTTCTCAATAACAATAAAATACAAATAAGTCATAATATAATATAATAATTAATAATATTAATAATATATACCTTAAAAACGTATTTACAATAATTACCTTCCCGTTGTTTTTTTTTTTTTTTTTGTTAAGTATCAATATGGATCGTTCTACAAGTACTATAGATAAAGAGTGGAATAAGTGTTTGCTTTAAATAATTAACTTTTTACAAAATTACATTACAAAGTTGCGGCATATTGTAAAATCTGTGCGCGAGTTATCTATCTATCCTATTCACATGTACAGCTGCTAGAATTAGATTTTATGCAGTGGCTTTAATACAGCTAGACTAATGGAAAGTATACATGGTGTTTCTTTTTTTTTTTTTTTTTTATATATACTATGAATAATTATTGCCATATTGCGAAAAAAAAAACAAAAATGATCTTTGACATGTCGGAATTTTGTGGGTGTTGCGCCATATGTGTGTTGCATCAATCGAGAGTTTGCTTCGTTATGAACAATTCATAAATAAAGATCATACACGTATACATATATGATTTATACAAACACAAAATGTTAAGAGATTTACACGAATAATTTAGGTATCAAGTTATGCGCGGTATCAAAAAACAAATTTTCGCACATACGATGTATCAATACCAAAAGAAAACGAAGTTTGTATATAATGGTGGGTACTCATATCTTTCAAAAATTACAAAAAACTGACTTACACAGTTTTTCTAATTTTTCTTAAAATGCATAATTTGCTTTGATATACCCTATTTTCAATTTTTACTTCTTAACATACTTTGCTAAAGGAGGGTCACGAGCCTAAGATGCTGCGGACTGCTTGGTCCAATGCAGTGTCCTTCGAATTTCCAGACTGCGATGACGTACTGCCGTTACTACTGCCGGACAACGTATTCGTAGGACAATTTTTAAGATTCAGAATGCTATCAATGGCGGACTGCACTTGTGCATTGATTTCATGTTCGTGCTCGTTGCCGGCAGTTCCGCTGTCGCTGCTATTCGTTACGTGAACACTACTACTTGGACATTGCGTCTGCGAATGCAAGGCCAAGCCGTCCAAGCTATCGGTATCCTCTAACAGATCCCGTTCGAGATCGATGGCGCTACACCATCGCCTATCAAAAGGCGGAGCTATGTTTTGCTCGCAATCGTCCTTCATAATCGCGTTCGAGACACCGGATACGCATGTACTCGCAACATTCGTACGAAGACACTCACCGTTCGCTCGTGTTCTTTCTATCTTCGATGGCCTTGTGATAGCCGTAACACTACACGCACTATTACCACCACTGTTATTATCGTTATTGCCATTTTTACATTTTAAAGCGTCCGTAGTAGATGGATATACACCTAGTTCCTTTTGGATTTCCATCCACTCGTCGTAATCGCCACTGGTACTACTTGTAGTTTTCATCACTGGTTTACATTCCATTTCGTCACTCGGAAAGTCATCTTCTAATTCGCGTTTTACAGACACGTTTGCCAGTGGTGGTGTTGGCAAAGTTGGTTTGCCTTCTTCCATAAGACCAGGTTCAATTTTTGGCACCAAAGGCTTCTCCTCCTTGTTAAACTCTTCTGCAATTTTATTTGTAACATGTTAAAAATTAACTTAGTTTCTTATTTAATATTTTCTTTGTGAGTGTGTGTGTGTGTATATATATATGCACTTTCTATAAAAGGCAATTTTTCTATATATAATTACCGTTCACTTTAGCTTCCTGCTCTCGTAACTTGTTGAGAATACTTTGTTCTTCAGCCACAAAGGTTCTATCTATCATCATCAATTCTGAAGTCCTTACCTCGCGCTATAATTTAATTTTAAAGATATTATGTAATAAGTATTAACGTTTATTATTTTTTTCTTGATTTATTTCAATAAAAAGAAAAAAGTACGATAAAAAGTATATTTAACGTATATAATATAATTGTTAAAAATTATTGGGAGGTATTCATACCATACTGTCCATTAGAAGAAGGTACGTGTATTTATTCATCATAGCACTGAACTTGCTCAACAGATGTTTGGACGTCTCCTCGAATATTTCGTCAGCTTTCGCCAAATCTTTGGGACTGAGTACTTGTTCGTTTAGACAATGATACCTTAACAAACGTTTGCAGGCATCACGTTTGCTAATAAATGGTGTGTTCATATCTGGATTGATGGCACCATTTTGATCGATCTTCAGCTGTTGTTCAAAACTGCTAAAAAAATAAAAATTATACAATTAAATACACATCGATCATGCTCAATAAAATCTTCAAAGACAAAATTTTCTTATCACGACTTGTATTCAAAATACGTACGATTCGTTGCGATTCACTCTACAAATTGGACTAGTGGCACGTCTCTTCATGCCCTGTCTCGGGCTTACTAACGGACTGCTATTGGGACTGACGAGTTGCTTTGTTACACCCGCGCTAGTATTTACAGGACTCTGAATCCTCTGCGTTCCCTTACCCATCATTCTGGGTGACGTTACTTGTCCGGTGGGAGAATTTCCTTGAACTTGAACTTGGATAGGAGACGATAATTCTTGTTGCTTGGTGGGACTGGGTGTTTGTATACTTGATTTAATATCCAATGGATCTGTTTGGCATTGCGTGGATTGTTGCATGCTTGTTTGTTGTGTTTGAATTTGTTGCGAGTTGTTTTGCAATTGCGAAGTTGCTGTAGAGGAAATTGGTGGTGAGAAAATCTGTATGTTTGCGGAGGACGGATTCAACATCTGATTCCCGTGGTTCTGATAAAATTTGTGCTGCTTGGTGTGCGCCTGATGTATACTCTGTGTCGCGGTATTCGATACAGCTGGCTGTTGTCCTTGCACACTTTGTGGCACCTGTTAAGCAACACGTTAAGTTATGTATGTGGTTACGATACTCGACAATCAGTTGTTTCAGATATAAAAAAAATAAGAAAATAAAAATTAATAATTTATATTAATATTTTACTCACCGATACGTGAGTAATGTAAGTGTTATTCGAATTACTCGGCATTGCTATGGATGTAGATGGATTTAGATTTTGAGATGTTGCTGGCATAACCGGAACGGAAGTCGGAGTTTGGGTTTGTGCCGCTGATGTCTGACACTTGAATGAATTTTGTATATTTGACGTAACTGTCGAAACCACATTTACACCCACTGTTTCAGTAGCCTGTATAAAAAAAAAAAAAAAAAAAAACACAAATTCATTCAGCGTGTAAAATTTTATGCGTCTTTTTTTCTTAGTTTCTCATTTTTCTAACATATTATACTTTTAAATCAATCATATACAATTCTAATTCTACATTTTTTTACTTACGCTATTGATGGAATTTAAATCGATGACTTTCCCAGCAGCTATTATTTTTGCTCGTTCTTGCTGTAACTTCGTTAATACTGTCTGATCAGCTGGCGTGGTAGACTTTCGAGACATAATAGCTTCGATTTGTGCCTGAATGTTGGTCATCATTTGATGCTTTTGAACGGGAAGCGTTATACGTTTTACTGGCACTCTTTGTACCATTTGACCATTTGATGGTAGTGACACGTGGGTGCCGGTACTCGAGGTGACCAAAGGACCATTGACAATAATGTGAGTCGGTTCGCTCTTAGAAGGATTTGTACTCTGAGACACCGTCGTAATTGTTTTATTAAGATTGTCAACTTTTTGTATATTGGTCACATTTGCCGTGACCATTGTCGGTCGAGTAACAGTTACTGTTTTTGTCGCCTAGAATAAAAAAAAAAAAAGACATAATATTCAGTATTTCGATAAAGAAAAGTTCATCACATCTTTAAAACATTTTTTTGAAACTTTGGATAGAATATAATATTCCAATAAGGATTGGTGAGTTACAAAATGACGCAAAATAAAACAGATTAAAAGATATATAAAATAATACACGTACTTATGTGAGTTAGCATTCAACATACCTGTGAGTTGATGATGCTCTGAGCAGTAACAACAACTTTCGTCTTCTTCACAACTTTCGTTTTCTTTGGTTGATTATTATTACCTAAGTTTCTAATTTGCTGTTGATTCAGATTGTCAATGAACTGACTAGGGAAACTAGAATTTTGAATTTGTATATGTTGCGGCATCTGAGACGGCGCGGCTTGTACCACAATGTTCTGAATATTGTTTTGAATTGTTGGAGCTCCGCCAGAACTGTTCACGATTATTTGGCTCGTCGGTGTATTAATCTGAACGCCTTGCAAGTTCTGATTGTTCGAGTCCGGCTCACCAATCACTATCTTCTGCGTCTGATTTTGATTTTGTTGTGTCTGATTCGCCGTTGCGTTTAATTGCCCGGCCAAAAATTGTTGAAAGAATTGCTGACTGATCACCTGCATCTGACCGTTCGCGTTCGCGATTAAAAGCTGATCGTTAGGATTCAAGTTTCTCAACGCGTTTAAAATTTCAGGTGTGATTTTTGGCGCGTTATTTACTATGTTGTTTGCAGCCGAATTTAATATATTTGCACCTTGGGATTCTACCTTTTGAGATTCGTTTTGTTGGCTAGCAGCGGGAGTAGTTGCGGGAGTGGCCGTAATTACGATATTCTGATTCTGATTGTTTTGTTGCGTGTTAATCAATTGATGCACAACATTAGACGAATTCTGAGACTCTACGTGATGTGCATTAACCGAGGAGAAGGTGTTCGCTGTCAATATTTTCTGTTGCTGAACGTTCACGTTCTGTTGCACGTTCACGTTTTGTTGAACACTCGCGTTATGTAAAACAGCAGACGTATTTTGCTGTTGCAAACTGGTCATAACGTTTTGCTGCGTATGTGTATCTTTAATGGCCGAATGCAAATTTTGCTCTATATTCTGAACATTGCCCGCCGTATTCTGTTGCAACACATTAATTGTATTCTGCTGAATACTCGAATGTTGCAAAACATTCATAGTGTCATGTTGTTGCATTGTGTTACAAGAACTTTGTTGTTGCAATATGTTCATGGTATTGTGAATATTAGAGCTTTGTAAATTTTGTTCAAATATTTGCTGTACATTTTGAGTTTGCACAGTTTGTGCGGTAATCTGCTGATTGTGTTGAAACAATGGTGACTCTTGCAACGTTAATGTCTCTTGATGATTTGTTTGCTGAAGGCTTTGATTGATTTTAGCTGTATGCCCGCTTTGTTCTATTGCGCCAGACAGTGATTTCTGCACGTGAACGCCATGTTGTTGTTGCGGTTGTCGCTGCGGTTGCTTTCCCACACTCTGCCGTATGTTCGTAGCTATACAAGCGTTCGCAAGTCGTACTTGACTAGACTTCTGTAGAGAAATGTTGGAATTGGAACTTGCTTGGCTCACATTAGGCATTCGAGGACCCTGGATACCAAATGTATTAGGCGAGGACTTTGTGGACACCACGTTCATAGACGCGTTACCGCTCATTTGTAAAAGAGTAGGATCTGATGATTGAATGCCTTTGGTCTGCATCAGATTTTGTACATGGATGTTCTTCGACGTTTGTATCTCCAGAGACTGCAAGGATCCGGTGCTGGTTTGAACACAGATACTCGGCAACGCGTTGGTCTCTTGAGGAACAATATTCGTGCTCTTCTGCTGATTAATCGGCTTCGTACATATCTGTCCTTGATGCGGACTAGTGGTGCAGATAACATTTTGAGAGCATGTGGAACTTACAGTGTTGGTGGAGACCTGATTTCTATTGGTTGATTTGACGTATCTTTGCCTTTGAACTGTGGTTTGTCGCTGCTGTTGGGCTGCTGTATCTTGAGCGGTTGTACTTTGTGGTGGGTTTTGTTGTGTATTTTGCGATGTTGTTTGCACTTGACCGAATAGTTGCGAGATAATCTGCGAATTTTGTCCGCCTTGAGTCAGAGATCGTATCAAAGCTTCCGCAGTTGCTTTATCGATTTCGGGTTGATTAGGTTCCGGAGTGTGATGTAAAACAACTTTACCATCCTCTCCAACTGCTAATCGTAAGTGTCCCGATATCATATTCTGCACAGGCATTTGAAGTTGGGCAACAAGTTGACTGTTGAACGTTTGTGACGCAGATGCTTGAGTGTTCGTTGTATTTGTTGCAGGTACTTGTTGAATTAGACTCTGAGCGGAAGTGACGGGGGTTGTTCCTTGCGACGGAAGTTGGCTCAACGTTTGTCCGGGATTGGCCTCGCTGCTTTGTTGTACTTGACAAGGAACCTCGTTATCAGTTGGCAATTCGGTATCAAAAATATCATCGTCATCTCCTATACCCGATATTTTCATAATACTGGCAAGATCTAATTTCGGCGGTTCATCATCTTTCCGTTTGGATTTCTTCTTCTTTTTCGCTTTCTTTTTGGGAGGAGGCAACAGATTCTGATCCGGAACAGTTTGCGTGCACGAGCTACTACCAGTCGAGTTGCCAGATGTGACTTGGGTAATTTGCGACTGAGGACTTTGTACCATAGCATTCTGAATTACGATGGAATTTCCGGTTCCTGAATTAGCTACAAAATTTAAACATTCAACCAAAATTTAATATCGAAGTTTGTAATGTCTGTTTTATGAAATGGTTATTGTATGTGTAATATTGGATATAATGTGTTTTCTAAAATATCAATCAACATGTCCTCCTCTTCTCTATGCTTTATATAATCCGCGAGTATTTTGTGTGTACGCATAATTCAGAAATATTACGAAACCGATAACAGATTACAAAATGTGACGAAATATCACTTTACTACAACATTGCTACACAAAGATAAGCTTACCTGGTGCAGGACTAGATGGAGTATGCCTTATCACTGGAGAAGCAGTTGAAGCGAATCCATTAGGTACAGCAAAGAACGTAGGCGTAATTCCTTGCAATTGCATGCCTTGCGCCGTTACAACTCTCACTAACTGCTGTTGCGTCAACTGTAATCACAAATCAAATATTTAGTTAATTTCTCGTATCAATCAACAATATCACTTGCGTTCTCTTTTAGAATTATTACTTTCTCTCTCTTTTTTTTTTATCTTTGAAATAACGTACGATCTTACAACAGAAGATTGCGTTTTCACTTTTTGTACTATAAAAGTGAAATATACGCGGGTATTATTCTTTTGCTGTAAATTTTTTTTATAAACATACATAAAAAAAGATCGACTGAATATCACAAGACAGTACATGTCCTCAGATATTTAAGCGATATTTTGTGTTTATTTGTATATAAAATAAATTTCATAACAGAATTATTTTTTTAAACATCTATTGCCAAAAAAAGTGCATAGTCGTTTAAAAATATTTGAAAATTCGATAAGCAATGATTTTTTTATGAATGTGAAACATGTGGGAATGTGAGCATGGATAAATGGATGAAACCATCACCTGTGCGGTATGTGTTTGTTGCTGGGCATTTGCCGGCGTCCTTAATATAAGCTGAACGCCTCCCGGTTGTTGTTGTACAATAACAGGTCCAGTTGACGGCAACACCTACATACCATAAATGTGACAAATATATGAAGCATAAAGCCACTTTCTTGTGATAATAGAAATGCATAAGCAGTTGTAGTAGATACAAAGCGCATCATATCAAAGTATCTCATATCATATATAGCTTTATATGATGTGAGATACTGATATGTGTATTTTTATGCAGTTTTTACAAATGAAACATGCAAGCGTGACAGACATAATTATGACGCAAAAATATTGAATATATAATAATAACCTGATTCAATAGCAAACCCTGCGCCGTTGGTATCATTGTTGCTGTGGTGGGACTCGGTTGTGGCCCGGTGAGAACTAGTTGCGGCTGAGTTTGTTGTGACACCTTTAAAGAAACGCGTACATTTACATCCTTATTATATATGCTGTGTTTTAAAAATTTTTAGATCTACCGAAGAAAAGAGATTTATACCTGGTTTGTAATCGTGGTAGCGGTAGCACGTTGTGGCTTTTGTTGAGGAGGAGTAACTTGCTGAGTTGGTGGTTTTGGCAAAATTTGCGGTGGTTGTTTGGCCGGCTTAGCTGCAATTTGGATTTGCTGATTTCCAATCAGATGGGTTCTAGTGACCAGCTGAGTTGGAGTGGACTGATAACCCTGCGGCGTACCAATTATTTGTACAACTTGCATCCCTTGTTGAAGTAGGGGTGTATTAGGCCTAACCTGGGTGATGAGAAAATAAAAAAATGAATAAAGAGAAATAATACTTCAAGATAAAGTATTGGATTTTAGAGCTTCATATGTTTAAATAAACAAAAGAATGATACATTTATTATGCACGTACAAAAAAAAGAAAAAATACAGATAATATATTATATAAAAAACATATATTTTTCAGTCTACAGCGTCTTGTTTAAACAAAAAAATAATGCATAATGACATATTGTTAACATTACAAGAGACATGGAATATGAAATAAAATTTGATATCAGTAGAATCGATGGACGTAATTAAAAACGAAAGAAACATCAAGATGAAATTTTAATGAACGTGTTGAATTTTATTTTACGAGACTTACCACAGGTGGACCAGGACTACCTCCTGCCGGGCTTCTATTGTTGAGAGAGTTATTTCCGCTTAACAGATGAGGACTTTTCGCAGGCGGATACGGACTAAGTACGGGGCTTTGAATTTGGCTAACACTCATCGGACTCTGCATAGGACTTTGCATTTGTATATTAAAATTACTGCTGGAGGTTGACGTGCCGACCGGACTTGGACTGTTTCGATTTGATTGTATTGAATTTGACGCTGGACTTCTACGTAAAAGCCGATTAGGGCTAGGGCTTGGTGTAGGTGGTGCTATATTAGACGCTGGACTTTTTAGGGGCATCGAGAACGGACTGCCCGGCGAGCTAATGTTCTGGTTCTGAATAGTTTGCATAGATTTAACAGTATTCATAGTACTGACCACATTCGACGGTTGTGTTGTGCCCGTCAGTGTTACCGACGTACTTAAACCAGGGTTTATCCCCTGCGAATACTGTCGCTGTTGTTGAAATCCAGTTGCTTGAGAGGAACTAATTAAAGAAGAAATATGACTCAGTGGCATAGTCGGTTCATTGGATCCAGGTATGTGTTGCGCATTTGTTGACGTCGATATATTAGACAAATTAGAGTGCATTGTACCAAGGTGCGGTATATTCGTGGTGAGATTCACGTTTGAAGCGTGATTCACATTTGCAGCGGTTGTGTGGATCGGTTCGCTGGAAGTGCTTGTGAATATGCTAGAACTCGTAAGAGTTCCAGAATTAGAAATTTGTGAGATCGTTGAAATGTTCGGAATAGGATGCGATATAGCTGAATTTGGTACATGTGCAATGTTTGATGATCCAACAATGTGCGGTGCGATACTCTGAATGCTCTGTATCGTTTGGAATGGAAATTGCGCACTACTCGAATTCAAACTGGTCGACGTCAGACCAGTTGCCGCTCGATTAAGAGCGGCTTGATTTACACCAGAATTTATGCTGGTTGTAGTCAAATTTGTATTTGGATTGATAGCAGGTAAACCAGATACGCCAGTGTTCGCGGCAGTCAAATTAGTGTTCAGCGTGGTTAAATTCTGATTCACGCTTGACGAATTTAGGCTTGTTAAATTTGGATTTACGCCAGTCAATCCGGTGTTTACTCCAGATAGCCCAGAATTGATGTTTGTAGAATTTATTGTATTGATCCGGTTTATTCCAGTATTTACCCCCGTATTTATGCTATTCAAATCTTGGCCCAAATTGGTCAGACTGTTATTTGAACCAATATTGGACGTAAGATTGGAATTGATAGCATTCAAGTGATTCAGGCCAGGGTTTATTGTGGTCAGCCCTGTGTTTATGTTTGACAAGCCCAGATTGAGCAGAGGATTTGACGTGGTAATAACATTGGAAGTAAGAGACGTAAGACTGGTATTGAATAGTGATAGTGGCAATCCCATATTAAGGCCCACCCCAAAAGTGGGGGTGGCCGGGGGTAGGCCCATACCAGTCCCCGAAGGATTTATGGTACTTTGATTCAACTGATTCAACTGGTTTACGTAGACTATGTGATTTCCAGTCGTCGACCCATTCCCTTGCTCCTGTGGCTGTAAAAAAATAAGTGACATTGAAATAACATTTCAAATATCATACAGTCGAATAACCTCAATAACTCGAATCTCAAAGGAAGAGCTAAAATCTTTGAGTTGTTGAGGTTTCGAACCTATCAAAGAATAAAATTTTCGTCTTATAGAGGTTTTCGAGTTATCGAGGTTTGACTGTATTTTCGCTTAGTGATAAGTGTTAAAAGTGACTTACATTGTTTGATGTCTGTTGCAAAGCAAATGTTAGTGACTGACCACTTGTATTCTGGGCTTGCAGCTGTTGTAACTGCTGTAACTATAGTAAGATTTTCTAAAGTCTATGTCACACTACAGATTAGGATTGAGATTGGATTGCAATTTGACCAATCAGAGCGAAGATTACTAAACTTTAGGTTTTTTTTTTTTTTTTGGTTTTCTTTCTTCTGAGTGGTCAAATTTCAATCCAATCCCAATTCGTATTGTGACATAGGCTTAACATCAAACAGTGACATCAGACTATTCTAAATTTCATACATCTGGGTACCGATTGTGTATTTATGCGAAGTAGTGAAAATTACAAAAGTGAGAAAATTTACTAAAATATCTGTGATTTTATTAGTCGACAACTAGTAAACTTTCTCACTTTTGTAATTTTCACTACTTCGCATAAATACACAATCGGTACCCTGTTTGAGATACATAATCACACTTTAAAATAACTGCTGTAGAAATAACGTATATACATAGTACATAAATGTATATACAAAGCACAAAATACGGGAAAACATGACTGACAAGAAAAAAACAGATTTATGGAGTTTTTAAAAATAAAATCTTACTTGTTGTTGGGTCAAAACAGCAACTGGATTATTACGACGTGCATCGGGGGAAGTTGTAGAGGATACTGAGTCCCCAAGAAGAGGGCGTGACTGAGGCTGCTGCATGCCCACGCAGCCCCTCTTTACTATGGGCAGCCTCTAGCCACCTTTCAGCTTATTTTGTTGTTTCCTGTTAAAATAAGATTCTCTCATTCATACACCACGAATTTGTAAAACATAAATAATATGTAAAACCTGAAAATCTCTGTATCTACAATATCTATGCAAATATTTAAGTTTTAACAACCATAATAAAAGAAAAAAAAAAACAATTTTTCAAGTTTTACATTTAATTGTAATTAAAAAGCAGTTCCATATTTTTAAATATGTAATTTCTTATCATTTGTAGAAAACCATGCAAACATCACAAAATACTCAGTAGTCTATTACATACTCTATTATAGTCTATTATATAAATTTATTATAGTATATTAAATATATAAATATTGTCACGTTTTTATTTACCAAAGTTGTTTAACAGGTGATGCAGTAAACAGTATTTGCGTTTCTGCGCCACTCAACACGTCTACGACCTACGTTGCCCGTTCCAGTCATGCATATAATTTCATATCACTTATATGAAGCTCAGAGCACTTTGTCTTAAATTCTTCAAAGTATATACGTAATACTAATTCTTTGCTTTTTAAAGATCATGTATATGTATCATTAACTTTGATCTCTATTTTAAATCTCTTGCTTTATTATCGACCATTCTTGACTGTCATAAACATTACATTGCTGTACATTGAAAGTAGTTCCTTCCTGAACTACTTTATCCGTTAAAGAACAATTCCTCAATCTCATTGCGCATATATCCTGACTTATAATTAAAGTACATTTGTTGTAGAATTGTATCCATTTATAAATGTAGCAATGTTATGTTTGCGCACCATATTCAAGGCAGCATTATTCATATACGAAGGACAGTGTCAGAGATATCACACTTTTATAAGGTAAGATGTTACTCGCATTACATGCTATCCCAAATCCAGGAAATAGCTCGCAGACATTCTCAAATATTTATCGAATATTTAAAGTGCAGCGTTGTACCATTATGCGTCTACTCACAAGACATTTTTCTCGAAACAATATTAAATTTTCTTTAACAAGTGCTTCTCTCTATCCTCGTCACACGCGCTCGCTATCTCTCTCTCTCTCCCTCTCTCTCTCTCTCTCTCTCTACAACACTTCTCTACCTCTTGTACAGATTCAGACTGTAATCTGTATCCTGCAAAAAAAGAAGCAGAAACTTAATTCGGCTGCTTATTTAAACTATCCTAAGAGCCTAACGTAAGTGTTCGCGTAAATTCTCGCGAAATATAAAGAAATTGAATTTTTTCAAAAGCTAGATCTCTAAAAAATCTATCTCGCAAAAAGAGCGAAGGGAAACATACGATGTGAACGAACGAGAACGACGTGACCCTATCGCGAGTGTGCGAAACGTCGCGACACGCCGAACGTTCCCGTAGATTTGTATAAAACAATTTTTCGATTCTGGCGAAACAATTGGCGCCTCGAATAAGAAATTCGACAGCTGGATGCATACTTTGAGGTTATAACCTGACGCGCCTGTGTGTGCAAAAGCGCACTACGTGACACACAAGTCCACCAACACGCGCGTACACGCGAACGGAATAACGCACACATCTCACTCTCACTTACTGGCGGGGGACTGGCGGCGCGCGGTTGCACACAACAAAAGGCACGACTGACAAGGCGTAAACAAAAGAAAACCCGAACATCCGGCGAAAATTTCGCGATTCGAACCTACCGGGAACGCCGGCGGACGGCGCCGCGACGCGCGTGTTACGTGACCGACGCGCAAAAATGCGCGCGGCGTCGCGACGAAAAATTGTCAATATATACCTCTGAACGCGGTTTTGCCACCCCGTGTGTGTTTTCCTCCTGGGAATTTTCGCGCTCCCGCCTGATTTATCTCATCGGCGATTGCGACCTCGCGTCCCGCCGTCGATTCACAGACCGTACGTGAACGTGAACGGGCGCGCGCGAGCCACCGAAACCGGATCCACGGAATAATCCACGGACAATTCCACCGAAAATAATAAACTTTCAGTTACACGACACTTCCACCATGTACGCGTTACAATATTCAGTGGCAACGGCCATCATGTATTTGTCAGGGATGCCATTAGTGCGGCTCCATAAAATCCCAGCTTCCGCTGATATCCGGCGACACCTCGCACCGTGCGCGCAACAACAGCTTATTACTTGCGGATAAGACCGACTTGTTTGAAGAAACAAACGTTCGCGCGATTGAATTCGCGCGATCGAATAAGCGCGATTGAACGATTGCGATCTCGTACAAATGACGCCGCGTTCATACATTCTTTTTAACAACACACAACGCGCGCTCGTTGGCGCGCGCGTTGACACAAGAGCCTTCTCTCGGCCGGCTAGTGACTTTTGATTATTAACTAGATATTTGTAGAACGGCCACGCGACCGTTTTTTTGTTCTACGTCTTTATTCTCTTGTCACTATATATCTTAACTTACATTTAGTTCCTGTTCTTCGGTAAAGAGGACGCGTCGAGAACCAAAAGTCTCTCTCATCGGGTTCTCTCACCGCGTATATTAGTTTTTTCGAGACATGGCCGATAATAAAATTCATTCAACGCAATTGGTTCGCATCTGTACTTTTTTTTACACACATCTCTTGCGATCCCTCCGCAATTGTCGGAAAACCGCGCGCGCGGAAATATGTAACTTGCAAGTAAGTGTATTCTTCTTTTTTTTACTGAAAGTTATTTATTTAAAGTATAAAAAAAAACAATTATTACAATTTCTTCGAATAGAATTACGTTCGGTGTGTGATTCCGGAATTCGCCGCGTCGGAATTGTAGATTCGCTGCGGGGAAAAAAAAAAGCGCGGAATCGCGGAACATGAATTGGCGGAGAATAACGTAAGTAAAGAAATTGCGACTCTATAAAGAGAATAAATAAACGTATCTATTTAGTGAGACCCCTGCACAAGTTGTTTTCGCTCTGATTACTTGTGTCGAGCAAAAGAGATATCAAACGTTTGACCGCGCGCTTCCAACCGGTCATTCGCAAAGTAATTAGGGTAAAAGACCCAATTACCGTCACCCGCCCAATTACCGTCACCCTAACCTATTTTATTTGAAATATTAAATAAATCTCTAAAAAGTTATGCGTGAAAAAAATCTAACATGGAATAAATAAATTTTAAGTGCAATTAATATAATAAAAAATCCAGCACTCTCAACATTCTCTTGCGTCTCATTTCTTTCATTTTAGGAGGTGACCGTAATAGCTCTCGTGTCGTTCTTTTTTAATTATTAAATTTGTAAATAAAAATCGAGATTTTGAGAGAGACGTATTATTTATTTATTTTTTTCTTATATTAGAGACATTGAATAATACCAGATAAAAAGAAAAACACATGTTATTGATAAATAAATAGTAAAAATAATTCACTAAGAATTTATCATTCAGCCAGAGTTTATCATTCAGGTGACAGTGTGTAATTGGGTCTTTTACCCTTACACTTTTTTTTTACATACCACAAATCAACTACGTTCCGTCTTTTAACACGCGGCTTCACATGAATGACCAACGACCGCCCTTTTATCATTTATTTTACATTGCACTTATTTTATTAACCGTCACATTTACTTTGACTATCTTTTATCTATTTATTATTCTTTACGAATGAAGAAGACTCAAGAGTCGAAATAATATCTCGCGGTTATATGTTTTTAAATATTGCTGTATCTTGTTATTAAAAATATCTTGTTTTTTTGGCTCAGATCTCTTTTATTATATTAAAAGAGAATATCGTTACGGATAGCGTAAACCGTCAAGCGCGTGTTCGCTCTGATCTAGTCTCTTCCCTTATCTCGTCGACGAGAGAGTTTATTATTTCAGAGCAAACCCCTTCCGAACCGAATTCCGCCCCTGTTACAATTTTTCATCCGCTTCTCTTTTCTCTTCTTCTGTTTTTTTGCTCGCACAAGCTTCTTGAGATAACGCAGTCGTCTACATTTTTCGAGAGAGAAGCAACACGTTGTAATAAAATTTTTTAAATTCACCGAAAGCGCGCGATTCGATGCCGGTTTTGTTTTACCGATATTCTACTTCTAAAAAAATCATCGCATAAATAATTCATCATCAAAATATGTAAGCGATATAATGAGAGATGTATCAAGATTATGTTTCTTTTTTTTTTTTTGTTTTAAAATATTTTTACACAAGTTCTCGAACAAGTGGATGCAGTACTTGGGATATCTCTCTTCTACATGAAGTTTAACACGAGTGTTGGCACTTGACTTATAAGATAGCGAATCTCAAGTCCCATCTTTTTCGATCTCTTTTTTTATCTTATCACTTTTATTGCCAATCGTTCAATCTGATGGATGACTAAAAATCAAAAACAAAAGGTTTTAGTAAATATAAACTTTTCTATCATACGCAATGCTAAATAAAAAAACAGTCATATATTTAGTTTTTTATTTTTTCAAATTCAATCTTCGAGTTATTAGAACATTTTTTTCAAGATGATTTTTTTTTGCACGTCTCATCTCTGTTTCTTTTGTCTATATTTGTTATTACAATTAATTAACTAAAACTTGGAATGGAAAGATAAAGTTATGGACATTTTTGTGCTATCTAATTTATTTTTAATTTATTTTATGAAAAAAAACAAATTAATTTTATTCTCTTTCTCTTTTTCACTCTCTCTCTCTCTCTCTCTCTCTCTCTCTCTCTCTCAACAGAAAAGAAATTGAAGTGGTATATCTTACTTCGTACCTCGAAGTTATCTTCCTTCTTGATGGAACTAACATTATCTCAGCAACAGGAGCATCAAAACGCGAGCCTGTCAGCGATGTCGTTGAGTAACTCTTCTTGCACCTCGTGAATGCATTCGTCGTCGGTTTAATGCGCATTCCGCTCGCGACGCGTTTGCTAAAGAAGAATCTTCTTCTGCGCTATTTTATTCCGCTCTCTTTAGCCAAAAGAGAAGCATCGACAAAATTCGGTCACAAAGTCAAGTTTTAACAAGCCGCGATCAAAAAAAAAAAAAAACATCATCAAAATTGGCACGGTTTTTATTACAGGATAAATATGTAGTTTTTTCTCGTTTTTTTTTTTTAATCACAAATTGATTGAGGAGATATATTGCAAAAGGTAGAAAAGTTTTCGAACTTGTGTGTTTCCTCCAACGCGTTAAAACACATCCACAGCACAGGTTGTCAGAAAACTATTTCGAGAGCTGACAGAATCGATTATCGAATCGCACTTCCTCTCTTTGTGTTCACCGCGGTCGTTTTCCTACGGGACTCGTGAACACACATGACGCATATAAAGAATGTAATACGGATATCTCTTATTTCCATGTAAGGATTGCCGGCGGGAAATAAGAACGGGAAAAAAAGAAATCCTCCGTCGTCGTTATACTTTTACGACGGGCATCAGTATCCTTCACAAAAACACACGTAGGGCATCTGTGTGTCTGTGTTGCTCGATATTCTTTTAATATCTCCGACACAAATTTATTTCGTCGTTGTGTTTTTAATTTTAATCTAAAAAGAATGATATCGGTGTTGTTTTATTTTATTTTATTTTAGTTTTTTTTGAAAATTTTTTTAATTCGATGGGAAAAAAAGAAACATCAAAAATCCCGTCCCACGCAAAGGTTCGAAAAAACTGCGCGTCATCGGATTTATTCGTCATCACGCGCGATGACGATACGTCTCCAAACTGTCTGATGACCGGCGGGATGTTGGGGAATTTGCCGGTCGAGATAAAGTGAAAATATATATATACATATATATGCATGTATCTGGAAGACATCTCGCATCCCGTGTGATATCAACAAACCGTTATCGTTACCGCAAAACCGTTGTGACGTAAACGCGTAGGGCTGCTCGTTGACTGCATCATTCGCGTTTATAGCATCAAGTTGTACGGTGTCCTTCTTCGCGAAACAAGAAGTTTTTCTTCGAGTCTCGAGAAAGAAAAACCGCGGCAACAACGGAACAGGAATCAACAAAGAAATTTTGGTTTTTTTTTTTTTTTTTTTTTTAGCAAACATCATTTAATTCTACAGACTTCTTTTTACGGACCTAAAATTTAAATTAATTACATCCATCTTATGAATCATAAATATAAATAAAAGACAAGGTCGAGATGCATCAAAACATGAGGTTTTTTTTGTTTTTTTTTTTTTTGTTTTAAGCGACGTATCTCTCGATGTGCGCCGTAGCTTGAGTCGTGATTCTTTTTACGTACATCTATATTTTACACTTTTACGCCGCTTGCTCACGCCCGCACAATATTACGAATTAAAAACATTATCTCTTTTTTCTATCGTATAATCACCGATTTAGAAACAAAAATCAAATCGTAAGAGATAAAGATGATGAAGACCTGCAATTCTTAGAATTGTACAGACGTACTTGACACTGTTGTGTGTGTGTGTGTGTGTGGATATATACATCTAATAATACATTTGGAAAGATATACGCGACACAACATATATATCGAGCAGATGATGAAGATAGTTGAACCAGAGAAGATGTACACACAACTTGTGGACACTATGTATCCACCACGGTCCTTTATTCGTTATCTATCAATCAAAGCTATTTCTTTTTTTAGCAAATTTCGGCTCGCATATTTCGTTTGCAACAACGTCGGGATGAATTAAACAAATTTGCGCAAATTTCGTTCGTGAGTTCGAATACGTTAGCGCGGTTTGATGGTTCGCGGCGTTTTTTTTGAAATACGGAATTTTCGATATGCGACGAAACAATCTTACGACGTGTGGTGTTGCGAGTTTGTTCGTTTTTCTCTTCCTTATCGAAGGGGAAAAAGGGGGTAAGGGAACTTCTTCTTCTCCTACATGCTGTACTTGATTTGATCGTAATACATCGTCGCGGGCGGTGAGGACGTGGACGCGTGATGAATGTTCGTGGAGACCGCGCCAGGTATGTTGGATATACTGAGGCCGCCGATGTTGCTCAGATTTAACGAGCCCAGCGAGCTCAGGGAGCTCAGGGTCACCGATCCACCGGGATGCGGGAAGTAGGACGGTTTTCGATCGACGATGCCGCCGCTTGAACTGCTCGAACTGGAGCTGGAATTGGTGCACTGCATTTTTATTCCTGAAAAAACAGATCCGCAAATCAATATCAGTCGATTATCGGCGCGAAAAAAAAAACTTCGATCGCGATTTTTGTCAACGCAAGAGAATCTTTCCGTTCTCGATCACTTGCAAACTCGAGAGAGAGAGAGAGAGAGAAAGAGAGAGAGAGAGTTATCGACATCCTGGTCCCCCTTCGCGCACGGTCCCCTTCGTTCTTTCTCTTTTCGAGTTCTCTTATCTTAACGAGAGGTGCGAACCGCGTACAAAATTATTCGATTTCTGATTTTCCATCGTGGTAGACGCGGATGAGATTTCATCCGCGGTTTTGCCTACTTGAGACCGCGCGCCGCGGCGCGCACAAGCGCCATACCCCGAAGAGAAACGAGAGAGATCTCACGACGATATATAAGGGAATTGGTACTTGGGGGAGAGAGGGAATCCGAGGCTCTTCATAAATCTAAAGCCTCCCCGGCGGTTTTCAAGTAGCTTCCTCTCGAGCGCCCACTTTACTCGTGTCTCGGTTTTGTTACTGTCTGTTTTTTTCGGTTCTCCTCTTGATATCCTCCTCGACGTAACATATTTTTGCTTCTCGTGCGAGTGAATTACGGGATTTGCCCGGACGTTTCCAATTTCGAAACGTATCTCGCAAACCTACCGTTTGAAGTGATCGGTAAATTTTTTAATCTCTCTTCAACGATCCTCCAACGATCGCTGCTTCCGTAAATTTTCAATTCTTTGTCGTTTCTTTTTTTTTTTTGTACCTCGAGAATCGCGGTGCCGATTCTTCTGATTCGAGGCACCGCGACGTCGCGGAACGACATCGTGGGTGGTCTCTCTGGCGCTGCTTGTCAGTCAAAATCTCCCTCTCGTGTAGATCCACGAACACTCGTCGAACGGGCGCGGACTGTGCTCGCGCGCGCGCGCGCCATTTCTTCTTCTTCCTCTTCTTCTTCTTCTTTCTTTTTTTTTTTCTTTTCTCTCGAGGGCGCGAACGAGTGCGAACGCGAAGACGCTACGGCTTTCACGGGTGGCACAAAAGTCGCTTCTGACCGAATACCGGCACAACAGGCCATAGTTCGGAGCAAAGAGATCGAGGCGCTCCAGAAATATAACGGAGTGAGCGCGCGCGGCGGTTTAAAGAAGAGCAAAAAGACGAGTCTACCGTGGCGTCTGTGTAGATCGATCTCGTTTACACTTCACTGACTGACGGAAGACGAACAAGACGACGACGACGACGACGACGACGAAGAAGAAGAAGACGAAGAAGAAGAAGACGATGACGACGACGACGACGACGGCGAAGAAGTCTACGGAGGAAACGTGGGTGGCGGCGTTTATCTCCTGTCGATCCCCGAGTTGTATCGAAATACAGAGAATCAAGAGAGAGATTTACCCTTCTTAATCGAAATTAGACTGTTTGTCGGTCGAGATATTTGTAGAAAATTTAGGACGCTCTCGTTCCTTCTCACGACTTCGATTAAATTTCGCAGAGTAAAAAATTCTAAAATTCTTTCACAGTTGTTTTTTTTTTGTTAGAAAAAATCTCTTCAAAAATTGTTTCACAGATGAATAATAAAATAAAATTTTCTCTCTAATTTTCTCTCTAATTTCAAGAATAAAAAAAAAAAAAAAAATAAAGAAAAAGAGAGAGAGAGAAATGGATTATTTTAAATAAATCGATATAATTTCGCGGATCTCCGTCAATATGCGCTGTCAAGTAGATTAGCATCGTAAATATTACGGTGTTCCGTTCTCCGTAGGGTTAAGGCCGAATTAAATCACCTTGTTTATGCCTCCCGATAAATATTTACGCGATAAACGATTCGAGCACGTACTTGCTAGCACGCGACTGCGCTCAAGAGGCAAAAAAAAAACTGCATTTTACGAACACCAACTTGATCTCAAAAATCAATAACGCGATTAATTTTGCGATGCGTAAAATAAATTATCATTTGAATTATTTACATATCGTCTCCTCGCTTTAATCGATAAAAAAGTAAATCGCGCCAAACTGTGTGTATTACAAAAGAAAGTTTTAAAAAAAAGCCACAAGCAGAGAGAGAATAAAAAATTTTCAAATAAAATATAAATTTTTAACGCTTTCGTAGATACAACAATTTTTGCGCGCGACGGAATAATTGTGTGTGTGTTTTCGTTTACTCTCTTTATAAAATAGTTAGTAGGTGTTGAGCAAGGTGTTAACGCGGATATTTTATTATCCGCGTCGATGTTGAACACGGCGCTGTCTAAATTAATCTCGCGAGAAAAGAGGAAACGCCTCGCGACGCTTTACGGCGCGAGGGTTACACGTGTTAAGTTACAAGATACAAATTACGAGCTCGAGGCGTCGAGCACAGACGTGACAGGAATGTCGCCTCGGTTTAATAGTTTCTGTCATTTACGACAACACGCACTCCACCCAGTCGATGTGTTCTGACAAAATATATAATATAATTAATTGCACAACGTTCTGTCGTTGCAGTCACTCAAAAATTCAGCTTAAACGCTTTATCTGCTTTGATTGATCTTGTTAAAAAAGAAAAAAAAATGTAATGCGCAAGTAATTTCACGAGTTAAGTAAAGTAAATAGAAAAATGAGAATCACATTCTTTCGATAACAAAAATTCCTTTCGAATTCACGAGTAGTTGCGGTAGTTTTTATTTTTTTTTTATTTTTTTTTTATTTTTATTTTTGTCTCCGTGTAAAACTACAAGGAAAGGATGGAAGGGTCGAAGGAGTAGTCGCGCCGTGGTTTCACTTTGCACAGGACAACGGCGCCTGAAACATCGTAAAACTGTCTCCAATTTTCCAGATGGCCCCTACGTGACGTCGCGACTCGTCAACGTCGTCCTCGCGACACGAACTAAAAAAACTCGTGGACATTATTTCGTTGCATTCTCGTCGTTATTATTCTCCGTGTGATCTCGTATTTTTTTTTTTTTTTTAATTAAAAGCTTCTTGTTTAACGTTGTTGAAAAATAGTCTTGTCAAAGTAGATCGCAAACGCAAACTTTGCGTCTCAGAAAAATGCGCGTCCCCGCGCAATAACATTCTCAATTATTACATAAATATCCATTTACATGTTACGTGCGATTTAGCGTTATCGATTACGCGTGTCACATTGCGGGGAGGGGGGGCGAGGGGGGACAAAATTAAAAATAAAGAGATCGTTGAACAACTCACCGTGATCCGCCGCGGGTGTTTGACATCCGTTGTGCGGCGAACTGACGTTGGCTACCGGACTGCTGTTGCCACCCGTTTGCTCCTGCATCGATTGCATGGTGATGTTGATGCCGTGGCCAGCGGCATTGTTGACCCCCGTGAGACCGTAACCGACGTAATAATCCTGTCCGGGTGTTTGAGTGGTAGTGGGCACCGTCGAGTTGGCGCATTTGTAGCTCAACATGGCCTCGTCTTTGTAATCAGAGTGATGCTGTTGATGATGATCCTTAACCGTCGGTCCAAAACTGTCGGTTGGCGGCGGCGGCGGCGGCGGCCGATAAGCCGTCAGTTGTTCCTGACTTCGGACGGCGGCGCCGAAACCGGGCTCGCTCTTGAACGTCACCAGTTCCCCGTTTCTGTAAACCGACGGCGTGGATTCGCTGCCGGTTTTGTACGTGACCTCGGTGGTCTTGTAGGTCACTTCGGCGATCGGCGGAACCGATTTGTACGGCGCCGGTGCGTCCGGATACGTCCAATCGGCCGAGACCGTAGCGCCCGGCGCGTACATCGCGTACTCTTGATAATTCTGATACTGATTCTGATAACCGTTCGTGTACTCGAGACCGCCGGGACCGGCGGCCAGATTGTCGTAGGGACCGCCAGGTGTTTGCACGCCGACGGGACCGGCGCCGGTATAATACTGCGGATACTGCGGCTTCAGGGCCTGACACTTGCGCCGGAAACCGCGCGGTCGTCGTCGGAAACTGCCTTCCTCGAACATGTACTCGGTGGACGGGTCGATGGTCCAGTAATGACCCTTGCCCGCTCGGCCCAGACCCTTCGGTAGCTTGATGAAGCACTCGTTGAGACTGAGATTGTGACGAACCGAGTTCTTCCAACCCTGATAGGTGCCGCGAAAGAACGGAAAGCGTTGTTGAAGAAACGAATAGATCTCGGACAAGGTCAGCCTCTTGCCCGGACTCGACTGGATGGCCATCACGATCAGCGCGATGTACGAATACGGCGGTTTTTCTTGACGTCGAGCGCCGGGTTTTCTCGGTATCTCGGAACTGGTCGGGTTGCACATAAGCGGCTCCAGGCTCGTTTCCTGAGACAGATTGCTCGCGCCTATCGGCAGCACCGCCGATCTCGCGGCGGACGAGTTCGGATGCACGACTACCGTCTGCTCCTGCTGATGCAGACCGGAGTCCGACGACTCGTTCTTCATGTTAAGTCGTATGCTCTCGACGCCCGTGTCGCGCGGCACGATCACGCCCTGGTCCATCGAATTTGAGTCCCGATCGTTCGCCGGTCGTCAGAGTTCAATTGCGGCGAACATCCTGCGCGCAATATATATCCTACTTCGACGAAGATTCGAGGAGCGATGATCGATGTTACACTGTGATTCAGACACGAGGATTCTCTTCGGCGCGCAGAAGTGCGATCACAGATTGACACAAAACGACGAAACCGCGTTCGCGGAAAAATCGAAATCGTGATCAGGATGCCGTCATTTCGCGGAGCAACGAACTCGCGCGGAAAACCTTTGCTGCCACCAATCAAACGCGATGCCGAGGTCGTGGTTATTTATGCGTACGTATGTAAATTGTTTGCGCGATTTCGCGCGCGCGCGCGCGCGGAGGGGTCAATTATTTAGACTCGCGGCTTCTCTCTCTCGACGGAGTGCGCTATGATGCGCGGCTAAGTGTTTTCGGATGACTGGCTGTTCGCTCGCGTCGGCACAAGAGCGGAATCTCGTCTTCGCGGATGACGTTATCGCGGCTTGACACGGTTCTCGGAGTAGCGTCCTTCTTCGTGGGCGTGTCAACCAAGTCGGGAATCGGCCGCACGGATTGGCGCCGCACGCTGACGTTCCGGATTAAAGCCGGATACTCGTGGCCAATGGCGTCCGGAACCGCCTTCGCGTCATAGCGCGACTTCAACATCTTCTTCGTGGTCGTCGCGAGATTATGGGAAAGAAGAGATTGGATTGCGTAATGGCGTTATTCGTATTCGTTCGTCAGTGGCGCGTGGTGGTGCATCACACGCTTCATTACGTTCCGCAGGAATGCCGCCAAATTATATCGCAAGTGTTGTCGTAAGAAAAGAACGAGAGTTTGGTCCGAGTACTTCCTCGTTTAAATTTTGAAGGTCCCAATACGTGCGAGAGTCGTGAATCATCGCAGAGAGATTTGCGGGATGTGATTTAAAAATTTTATACAAATACATCTCGAAAATCAAAAATGTAATTATAAAATTTACGTTATCAAATTGTACTATAATGTAATCGTATAAAATTGATCGTTGACGTCATAGAATCTGAACGAGGGCAGAGTGTAAAATTGATCGTGGAATTTTACAAAATAAATTATAAATTGTTTTTTTACACAAACAAAAACACACACATATGTGTGGGTGAGTTTTAACGAAATGTAAAGAGATTATCTATTTGTGTATATTGATTCCCTCGAGACGGTGCGTATTATATTGCATGTACGTCGATAGCGGTTTATTGATGCAAGTGAAACTGCAAGACTCGCGGTAACGTAAACGACTCTAAAACGCTCATCGGTATCCTTTGCACGGCCGATTTGTACTTAGTTTGCTTGAAAATTGCGAGCATAAGTATCGCTTCGTGGGATATCGCTATCTGTGTATTCTCTGAGTGATGTATCCGTCTTCGGAACCGCCGATGTGTGCACATCCGCGGATGTGCACACACGACGAAGAAGAAGAAGACGAAGGGAAGCTTATTGGCTCGTCTCTTAACCAACAGGACGCTGGGCGTTTTGCTCCGCCCGTTCGCGGGCACCGCCTTATGCTATTTCCTCACGGATGCCGAAGCCTTCATCATCATCGTCGCAAAATGCAATTTTTTTTTCTCTCTCGCCGAAGAGCAGACAGTTTTCCAAGATTTTTTAACAATTCCGCCACGTCCCGTCGTTTCTCACGGCAGATTCTTACGATTNNAAAAAAAAAAAA